CAGCGATTGCCTCTTGAGGAATACTAAAGACCCACTAGAATCCTGTCCATTAGGTCCATCTCGAAGTAGGGCTGTAAAGGCACAGACTGTCATCATCGTTTGACCGAGGGATTGGGAATAAAGTCTCCTATTTGCTCGAGCCTGGGCTAATTCATTCCAGGAATGAACACTCGCATGAACACATGGAATTGTACCCACAAGTCATGGCATACACTACCCCCCCCGCCCCCATCATCCAGGTTGAAGTCAATAATAGTATAATTAATCTTACCGTAACCCATAGCTCGTGCGGTAGTTTTCACCACGACAGCCAGTTGTATGATGAATATTGCCAGTGATGTGAAGTCAATGCAGCTCAATAGCGCGAGGAGAAGCTCGCCCAAGTCCGAAAGGAGCGTCCATTGATGTTGGACTAACGGTGAGACGACGCTCACAGCAGGCGCCAGGGGAGCAACGAGCAGCAAAATACAAGATAGAATCATAGCGGAGTAATGAGCTATCTTGGGCCCTCCCATACGATATAAATATGCTCCCACGTGGGTGGACTTTGATGCGCTAATAAACAACAGTTACGGGAAGTGAACAATGGCTGGAAAGGGGCGGGCCATAAATACGGGGGTCAGCGTGCGGTTTTACCCTATTTTTTTCTAGGCGATGCGTTAAAAATGGACATCATAAAATGGGTAACAACAACAAGAGAGCGTTTTTGTTGGTCGACAGGTAAAAATACAAATATTTTGAAAAAATTGACTTCATCTTTCACAATGAGATTCACTTTGATGGAACTATATTTGCGGAAGTTGACCCTACCAATATTCCCCACCAGCGATAAGGTGTTTGTCAAAAAAAAACCGGAACTACCTGTCACTTAGTCACAATACCCACTCAAGAGATAAGGCTTAGAGCATCAGTGTGATGAGCTCTGTGGAATACGCCATGCATTCCGCCCTCATCAAGTATCGAACTCTTAGATGAACGCGTGTTCGAAGTAAATATGTCATCGTCTTTGCGACTCACCTTAGGCATCCCTTCTTTCATTTATTGTCCATGGTTGCACTCATTTTTCGAGAAAATGGCAAAGAAACGCACTTTCACGTAAAACAATGAATTTGTGAAGACTTTTGGTGAACAGTGAACAACAAGCTCCATCAGCGTTTATTGATAAATGCCCCTGTCGAATAATCAGTGACAAGTACCACAAGTTTTGGCGCATAGCTGCTGCGCAAAGCTCGGTTTCTTGCAAAATCCTAGCTTGTATGGTTGCATGCAGAAATCTTCGCCTCCCTGGTCCACACACGGCTGAAAAATAGCTAGTCTTAGAAAGCGCTACTTTCTGAAGAACTGAATCTAGTGTTATACAGTAACTAACCGCGGCCACTTGTGCCTCACTTGTGATGGTGCTGAGTAGGAGAAGGGCACAGACAATGGAGAAGAACATGCAGAGTCCAGTGAACCGATATCGAACGACAGA